ATACAAGCATTGTTATACGGAAGAAGGATTTTTTTTTATATACTTGTATAAAAATTGGGTTTTATACAAGAGTGGACTATAAAAACAATGATGGAAATATTGTATGTACACTGAAGAGATTTCATGCAACTCCTATTCAAGAAAGAATTAACTATAAGAAAATTTCAAAGAATCCGAACCGCCGCCGCACTGTGACTGTGAAGAAATACACTAAAGGAATGCTACTCTCTTGTTTTTATCCGAATTTCCACAATCGTACAAGACCAATTATTCGTGTGTGGTGGTGGTGGGAAAATACTAGTAACACCACTACAAATGACACTATCATTATTCCAACCTCTGTATCTGTTACATATTTATCCAAGATACTTACGAATAATCCAGAATTAGTGAATAAGGAGAAATTGAAGGAATCCCTTTTTTTTATTACTTTGGGATGTACTGTTTATTCTCCCGAACAATATATAAACGAAAACGAAATACATTATAATATATCGTCATCTATATTATCATATATGATAAATAAATCTACAAAGATAGATTACCATATAATATAAATATTTTCCTTTATTTTGGTAATTTTCCTTCCTCTGTATATATAAACAGGGAATATACTATACTCAATCATTATCACACAGCACACAGTACAGTCATCTACAAACTAGCTAGCCGCCATCCAACAATCAAAAAGGAGAATAATTATGGCTACCAAGGATCTTTCAGTTGATTTTTATTGTTTGGAGAGTGACAATGATAAACTGAAATATAATATATTTCAGATACCGAGACTCTCTCACGACGATGAAGAAAAAGGAGAAAGAAAAGGATTTAAAGGAGGACTTTTATCAACAACTAGGAATATAGTATTTGTTGATACATCATTTTCTATGAAAAATAGTTTGGAAACACTCCACTTAGCTTGGGAAGAGCATATAAAACCTAAATTAAAGGGTAATGTAACTGATATTTACCACTTTGGAAGTTTTGTGGAATGTATTAGGTTTAATGAACAAGAAGACCCATCTTTATTTAATACTGAACGGCAGTTGAAAAGTTTGATATATAATAATAGGAATAGTACCAATTTAATTGGTGCCCTAGAGCAATTGATGAGGAATATGAAGGATTATGAACATAATTGTATACATCAAAGAGGTCGAGTACGAGTGTTCCTGATTACAGACGGAATTAATAATGGGACATCTAATAATTTTTCGACACCTGAAGATGTAGTAAATCACATGAAGTGCATGAAAACAAAAACATGTGAAATTTTTATACTTGGAATAGGGGAAGATTTTCCAGTATATTTGAGTGTAAATTTACGTTCTAATTTACATAATGGTCCAACTAATATACCCATTATTTTTTATACTGAAAATGATGATGGAATATGTTATCAAATGAAATGCATCAGTGATTATATATTAGAAAATCATCAAGGAATGTTTACTCAACAACAACCACCTTGTAGAAAAAGAAGAAATATTTTGCATGTTATCCCCATAAAATTGAATGGGATACCTCTTCTGCAAATATTTTATCCAGGCGAGTGGGTTATTTCCTCTACTGCAGCCATAGATGATCATGAAGAAGACAACAAATATTACATATTAAAGGACGAAATGACGGGTATGTTGTATAGACTGAAACCCCAGGTATCGCATTCTCAATATCCACTTTTACCATTAAAGTTACTAGAAATAGTAATTAATCAATGGTTTAGTAAACTGATTGAAGATAGTCAAAAGAGAGAAGGATTAACGATATCTAATATAAATACTATATTCGAACATATTAAGCAGTTAGTAAATAGAAGATGCCAACAAATTGGAAGAGAAGGAAACACATTTTTGGCATTATTTCACAGAAAGTACAAATCAACCTACGAGATAATTTTAAAGAAAAAAATACTATCATCACATGATTTAATCCGAGGTATCCTTCATGTTAGTGATGTTACATCTCACGGAAAATATGCAGTGACAGCCCTCCGATTAAAAGGATTTAATGAGCCTAACGAGCATGAAAAATCATGTGAAGAATTCAAACGTATATATAATCTAGAAAAAGATAAGATAAAGGCATATAAAGTAGATAGTAATAATGAGGTTTGTTTTATTAATTTATCATCTATGATAACAGAAATGCAGGATGATGAATTTACAGACAAACTCGATTACTTATCTCGAGAGGAGCTATATGCTACATTTTCTGTGGCTGGTATACCAGTTTACTTAGTTGCAAGAGACGCCACTGTCATGAACCCTTGGACTGTGCAGATCACTAATGTAGTAGTTGGTGTAAAGGGATGTATTTCACAGACTGGATTGGACATGCTAATGACGAATAAGAATGCGTCACAAGAAATTGAGTTAACGAAAGGTGATCCTAACACGTTGGTAAATGCGGTAGTTCCGGTATTTTCAATGAGTGAGATTCCTTTAATGAAACCTTTCATGTCAACTACACTTATGGCTGGACTCTTAGCTTATACCACAATGAGGAATCCTGCTATTAAAGATTTTAACATACATTTGGCTAGTTTGAGTGCGGTGTGGATTAATATTATTCATAATTTTCCCTCGACGAGGGAAAGACCCGAATATGTGAATAAAATAATTGAAAAAATTGTGACTACTGCCAAGATGTATTTGTATGAGTGCGAAAAGGTAAGACCTCGCTTATCTCTCTATCTTTCAACCCTGTTATATCCAATATATCCGGATTATAATGGCGATATCGAGAAAGAGAGTGATGTACACTGTCAACTTTTGATGACTGAGAGTATAGAAGATGATTTAGTAACGGGTCTACCCAAGTTTAAATGCGAAAGTCTTTTAAAACCAATGTTCCTCGCCTTTGTTGGAGATGTATCTAATAAGTGGAAACAGATTACCATTGAAAAATTTATCCACTTATTGAAAATTGAATGGTTGGGACGATGTATTGACCGACAAAAAGTAATTGATAAATATTTTGATGTGAATATTGCTGCAATAGTGGATGAAATAATGAAAATAAATGGAAGAGTCAAAAAGGATTTTAGTATAGAAAATTTTTATACACCTCAGGAAGTGCGAAAATATGCTCGTAAAAGTCTAAAGGCAGTTATAAAGGAAAATAATTTTGGTATATTGCAGTTTTTACATAATAATATCCATTTGAATTTTTGTGCTATTGGAGGCTTGAAACGGCCAAGTTCTGCCGGAGATGTGACCTTATGTTGGATTATTAGGTAATGCATGTCAACAGAAACAATGTCCCTATTATTTACAACCTCGACTTAATGGATTTGGTGATCATATTGCTGCTGAAAGAATAAGCAAAAGGGACAACTTCGCCCATTGTCTTCATAAATCTATGAGTCAATTAAGTATGTTTGATAATGCTGATTATATTAGTGTAATAAAGGATGTATTAACAAGAAAATCTCTGTACAAAAAAAACACAGAAAGTTATAGTAGTAGATTTATGGAGATATGTTTTGATACTTCATCATTAAATAAAAATAATCCCATGTGGCAAAGAATATCAGAATGTCTAAATAAATATAGAAGTTTTAGAAAAAGGAGTTAGTTAGCCAATAATATTTTTAAAATGTATTTTTATAAAAAAATTATAAATTTTTACTTTTATCATATAAAACAAATCCCATGTGGTAAAGATCTAAATAAAATATAGAAGCCAAGCCAATAATATTTTTAAATCAAAATATTTAGAAAAAGGAGTTAGCCAGCCAATAATTAATATGTATAAAAAATGTATGTTTAGAATTACCATAAAAAATGTTTATTTTTTGTAAAAAAGGGAAAAAATAAAAATAAAATTCTAACATTCATTTTATTTCCAATTCCAATTATAATTTTGTGACTCGTAGAGCATAACAACCAGGTAAGCGACAGATTGGTGTACAGGAAGCTGATTGACATGATGAACTGTGAGCAATTACTTGCAGGAAAACCATCTTATGTTGATTGAAAACAGAATACAGCCTGAAGGCATTAAGTTGACAATAAAATACTTCATTTTTGTCAATTTTCCCTGCCTGCAATATCTGAAATAAAAAAAAATAAATACAAAAATAAAATGTTTGGTTGTGTTTTCGTACATAGTACACAGATTCAATAAAATGGGGTTGCTTATAAATACAACAGTCAGTGTGAAAATTGGGGAACACAGAGCAGTATATACTTACTCTACTCCTCCACCTACCTACCTTCAAGACGCACATTTTGGAAGTGAGTTTACAACCCACTCGAAGGATATTTATAGGATATGGAGCAGCCGGAGCTGGAGCAATATAACATCAAATGGAATAATCATCAAAGTAGTATCATCTCCATGTTTTGCCAGCTGTACAATCAAAAGGCTTTTACAGACGTTACCCTCTCCTGTAACAAGGATTCCTTCGCCGTTCACAAGGTGATCTTGATGACATGTAGCCCTATCTTTTATGAGCTCATTCTCTTGGATCTTGATAAACACCCAATATTCCATTTAGGTGACATATCTCCTAAATATATAAAAGAGTTAATTTCCTTTATGTATCGGGGAGAGATTAACATCCATAAGAACGAACTCTCCAACTTTCTTAAAATAGCAAAGGGTTTAAAGATCAAGGGATTATATAATGATGATATACAAAATACAATAATAGGATACCCACCCACAATACAGCAGCAGCAGTCCACATACGGAGCACCCATAGAGCAACAACCTACATACGGACCACCCACAATACAGCATCAGTCCACATACGGACCACCCATAGAGCAACAACCTACATACGAACAACCCATAGAGGCTATAGAGAAGCAACATACATATGGACAACCAATCGATCAGCAGCTTACATATGGGCAACCAATTTATCAGCAGCATACATATGGACAACCAATAGAGCAGCAACCACTCATTGAGTCCACATCCACATATGGACCACCCATAGTGCCACAGTCCACATCGACATATGGACCACCCATAGTGCCACAGTCTACATCTGGACCACCTATAGTGCCACAGTCTACATCTGGACCACCAATAGTGCCACAATCTACATCTGGACCACCAATAGTGCCAACATCTGGACCACCCATAGTGCCACAGTCTACATCTGGACCACCAATAGTGCACAGACCACCCACAATACAGCAGCAGTCCACATACGGACCACCCATAGAGCAACAACCTACATACGAACAACCCATAGAGGCTATAGAGAAGCAACATACATATGGACAACCAATCGATCAGCAGCTTACATATGGGCAACCAATTTATCAGCAGCATACATATGGACAACCAATAGAGCAGCAACCACTCATTGAGTCCACATCCACATATGGACCACCCATAGTGCCACAGTCCACATCGACATATGGACCACCCATAGTGCCACAGTCTACATATGGACCACCCATAGTGCCACAGTCTACATATGGACCACCAATAGTGCCACAGTCTCCATCTGGACCACCAATAGTGCCACAGTCTACATATGGACCACCAATAGTGCCACAGTCTACATCTGGACCACCAATAGTGCCACAGTCTACATCTGGACCACCCATAGTGCCACAGTCTACATCTGGACCACCAATAGTGCACAGACCACCCACAATACAGCAGCAGTCCACATACGGACCACCCATAGAGCAACAACCTACATACGAACAACCCATAGAGGCTATAGAGAAGCAACATACATATGGACAACCAATCGATCAGCAGCTTACATATGGGCAACCAATTTATCAGCAGCATACATATGGACAACCAATAGAGCAGCAACCACTCATTGAACCCAGAATGAAGAAACCGAGAATGAAGCAGCAGTCCACATACGAACCACAATCCACATATGGACCACCCATAGTGCCACAGTCCGGACCACCCATAGTGCCACAGTCCACATCCACATATGGACCACCCATAGTGCCACAGTCCACATCCACATATGGACCACCCATAGTGCCACAGTCCACATCCACATATGGACCACCCATAGTGCCACAGTCTACATCTGGACCACCACCACCAATAGTGCCACAATCTACATCTGAACCACCAATAGTACAACAGTC